GCAGACACTTTGGCCAGACACTTTGACCGAGACTGAAGCTACTGGAAACTCGGTCTCACGTGGGAAGCAAGTGGAAAGCACCCACCACTTTCATTTAGGAAAGGACTGGGCTCCAAACGGGACATTCGGGCACTTGCAATTGTGGGCCGCAGCGCTGCTGGAGTAATCGTTCGCGGGCTGCTGGCTGCGCTAGCGCTGGTGCTGCGTGCACGCGCGGACGTGCAGGGTGCAGGGCGCTGCTGAGGGCAGCGCCATAGTCAGCCCCCATAGCCGGGCATGGCTTGGATATAGCCAGTGGAGGTGGTGGTGGTCTTCGTGTTTGAGGATGAAGACCTGGGTGAGAAAGTTGAGGGTGAGGGAGAGAGAGAGAGAGAGAGAGAGAGAGAGATGAGGTTGATGATGTGACGGCACGTACCTGGTCTTGGTGATGGTCTACAAGGGTCACGTACCTGGTCTTGGCGATGGTCTACAAGGGTCAACATCTTCATGTACTTCGGTTCTGCTGCTGACGTCAACTGGATGCATTGTCAATTCGTAGGCTTCTAGTAGGCTGTGTGATAGTAGTCTGCGCGCTGAGCACCAAGTAGGAAGAAGGACTCTGAATGCATATGTTGGTGGTGGCGACAGTATGCTCTCATTGACATTCGGATCAGTGCTTTGGTTCTCCGATTGACATTCGGATTCAGTGCTTTGGTTCTCCGTTGGTGGAATATCAGTGCATTTCTGCTTTCTGAACAGCGTTCTACTTGCTGGCTTTCAATGTGATTTTGTATTCTGGATTTCTGTCATATGGCTATCTCTCATTTTCCTTGAAGGAGATCACATTCTCAAGAATTTGGTCTAGATGCAGCTATAACGACCGTGCTTTTTTCTAGTCAGCTTAAAGAACCCTCGTGTGAATGGGCCCTGGATGCAAAGCAGCGCACAGCCCTGTCCCTTCCAAAACCATTGATAGCGCCGCTAAGAGAACCACCTACCTTTTTCCTTGAAGACGCTGGCAACTGGAGCAGGCCATCTCCCTAAGGGCGCAAACCAGTACCTACAGATCTGTCACAAAATCCTTGCAAAGCCCTAAACCCTTCAACGGATACCAAGAAGATCCAAGAAAAAGCATAGAGAGAGGGTGGTAGGGGGGAGGCGAGAGAAGAGAGGAGGAGAGAGAGAGAGAGAGAGAGAGAGGAAGAACGACGCCAAGAAAAAGCATAGAGAGAACGTGGGAGGGGGGAGGCGAGAGAAGAGAGGACGAGAGAGAGAGAGAGAGGAAGAATGACGCTGCACTTGTGTGTGCGCATGGAAGGCAGCATGATAGAATCTGCAGGTAAGAGGAAAAAAACGTTTGGGGGATAAACAAACGGCGTAGAACAAGGAGAACATACGTGGGAAAGGTGGATGAGCCAATTGAGGACGGAGAAAAGTCATTAGGATGATAATGAGGACGGCCCAAATGATGACTTAAATGCGAGCCAGACAAGAATTAGAATAAGAAAATCCGTATCCCAGATGCAGGCATGGAGGTTGATACAGACGAAAGAACAGACGGATGCAAAATGATCACAGCGACACAGAGCCTTGGCCCACAGAGCAACATCCTAAATGTATCTAGACCGCGTTACGTTTCCCATTCATTCAAAGCGTTGGATCAGTTCGAATGTATTTGGTCCATGCAACAGTCCAAATACATGTAGAATGTTGAGCAGGCGGAGCGCGGCAGCCCACAGTGTGACGAGGTGTGCATGGGGAGACGAGCATGACGAAGCGGGTGAGGTGTACATGGGAAGTACTGACGAAGCAGAATCAATGTATCTAGACCGCGTTATATTTCCCATACGTTCAAAGCGTTGGATCCGTTCGAATGTATTTGGTCCATGACACAGTCCAAATACATTGACGAGGTGTGCATGGGGAGACGAGCATGACGAAGCAGAATCAATGATGAGGATTGCTAAAGAAGAAACGAGGATGTCAATGAGATGCCCGTGGATACGAAGATCGCTCCCAAAAGAGATTATTTTCGCCGGTGATGATCATCGGATTATCATAATTGACATCCTTTTTTTTTCTTTTTGTTCTTTTTTCTAATCCGCCCTGACGTCAAACTTATATAACATCGAGGGCGCCGCAAACGGTAATACAGACAAAGACTCGGACACTGTGTGTGCAAACAAGGAGGACACAGCAAGGATTTCTGCTATCAACGAAGATAGATCGCCGCCGTTAGTTCGGTCGGATAAGCTATAGGCACATGTTGATAGGCACATGTTGATTCGCACAAGTTTGCACAGCGATGCGGTCCTCTGGACTAAACCAGCGGGCCCAGCTCAGTTGGTACACCCATGAACTGTGAAAACACAGACGTGAGCTCGAATCCGGATGGAACTACCGTAGTTGAACGACACTATGAATTACCTGGGGCCGGTCAGTTCCATGATGACATCTCATCAAGGCCGTCGCACTTCATTAAAGAAACAAAGGAGGAGACAGAAAGGAAAGAGAGGGGAAAGAAGGGGCGGGGGGGGGKGGGAGCTCAACTAAAATAGATCGCCGTTGATTAGGCTAAGCGTGCGCATGCGATAGATACATGTTGATTCGGGCAAGTGTGCACAAACATGGGGGGGGTCCTCTCGACTAAGATAGATCGCCGCTGATTCGGTTTTTACACGTGCACACGAGCTTCGATTCCGTTTCAACATGCCGTCCTCTCGACTAAGATAGATCGCCGCTGATTCAATCCCATGTGCACGCACGCTCTTCCTCTTCCTCTCGTCAAACGCTGGGCCATCATATTTACCATTTTTGTCTGGGTCGCCGCCGCACACGTTCATCCATACATGCTAAGGGTTAGGAGCAGATTCGTAAATAATGTGATCTATGCAAGTTTTTTTTTTTTTTTTTTTTTTTTTTTAAGGTTGAAAGTCGTAAATATGGTGATCTTGACAAGAGGCATATTAGGTAGGAGGTATGCGATGCTCCTACCTCTCCTACCGTCTTCCCCCGAACATAACGCACCCTGAGATTGAACGTATGCAGGCTATATTTCCGGTCCGGTACAGCCAAAATGAGGGTGCGTTGTGTTCAGGGGAAGACGGTAGCACCACACCTCTTCGACTCCCTCGCGTCCCCTTTTAGCAATCTTTTTCCCAGCATGACCACCCTAAAAGGGTGCGCTCAAGAGTCCCTCGCGGAGCGCTTAAGCCCTTAGCTAGCACCTTGAAATGAACGTATACAAGGTATGTTTTCGGCCCGGTAGAGTCAAAATGAGGGTGCGTTGTGTTCGGGGGAAGAAGGTAGTGCTAGCAATATCCTCTCGCTTGTTCTTTTTACCGGCATGCCCTTGTCCGATCTCAGCAATTCGCAGCAAGCCCAACCTCCACTGCACAGCACATACTTGTTAAAGCCTTTCATAATTGGACTCACGTAACCTACCGGTCGCCCACATACTTACACTTTATCCATGGGGATGGTCGCCCACATACTTCATCCCTGGACATGGTCGCCCACATGCGTGCTCCATCGGCGCGCTTTAATCGGATTTTGGATAAAAGTGGCGAAGACCATTACCGATTACGAGGGACACGAAAGAACCGCCCGGGAAGAAAGAAGAAAGGCAGCGGGGGAGGGGAAGAGGAGGAGGGGGTGGAGGGGGACGGGGAGGAGGAGGGGGAGGGGGAGGGGGAGGAGGAGGAGGGAGGGGAATGAGAAACCGCGAACGTAGTACGGTCCAATAAAAAGTGGCGAAGGGGAATGAGAAACCGATTACATTGCTGATAATCGGCGATAAGGGGGAGGGGGAGGGTGATTGGTGATGATCGGCGATATTTATTGGGTAAAATATATCACCGATGAAACCGTGATTAATTTTTCAATTGCCGACAATTCACGATGATCGATGACGACAATGAATGAACATCGATAACATTCAAAAATAATTTGTTCAACGATATATGGCGATAGTTGGACAAAATACTGAAAGTCGATAACCTTCATCATCAAGAGCATCACAAATTATACTGTATGATCCATCAGTCGATGATGATTTCTGCTGACATGATGACGACTTCTGCTGACGCGGTGATCATTGATGGTGATTTCTGATTGTGTGATGCTCATTGATGATCACTAAGGTTAAAACATGATAATTCCTGCTGACATGATGGTTGATGATGATTTCTGCTGACATGATGCTGATTGATGATGACTGCTGCTCACATGATTGATGATTGATGATTGACGATGATTGACGATGATTGACGATGATTGACGACTTCATGATATGATGATTCATGATAATTCATGATGACATCTGCTGACATGATAATAACTGAGGGTGATCAAGAATGATTAAGAACGATTAAGGATGATTGAGGATGATTAATGACGAGTGAGGATGGTTTGCGGATGATTGAGGATGATTGAGGATGATTGGGGACGTTTAAGGAAAATAATTGAGGATGATCGAGGAGGTGACTGAGGATTATCGAGATAATTGCCGATGGTCGATAAATTTGATAATATAATCGCTAATGACAGATCCGCAAGGATCATCGGTGATGTCAGTACCACAAGGATCACGTTTGGTATTCGACACCTCGACACTTCTGTTCCGTGCTGGGTGATTGATTCGATCATCAGTCATGATCGGTGCTGGATGATTGATTCGACCATCAGTCATGATTGATTCGTCCACAGCGAACGCTGATGATCGATAACATTTAATGATGCACCACAAGTGTTGACCTATTGAATGGATTGGCAGTACGATCGAAGACGACGTTGCCATTAGCAGTACGATTGAATGGATGAGCGTTGCCATTGCTGGCTGGCGCTCTGTCGATGATACGGCAGTACGATCGAAGACGACGATGACACCATGGCTACTTGATTCCCGACCATAGATTTTCTCACTAATAGTAATTTGCTCACCATTGATTGACCCGCGAGCGATCAATTCGTGACTTCACGATAAAAAAATTGTGACCATGGATTGAATGATACCGATGACGATGGTGACTTCACGATTCAAGACGATGGTGACTTCACATTCTCACTAAATTTTTACTCAGCCCTGAACCCCGATTACTAGGCGATTAATTTGTGACCCGGTGACGTCACGATAGAATTTGTGACCCGGTGACGTCACGACAGAATTTGCGACTGTTTCACGACATCTTAGCGACATCACTGCTACCACAGATGCTTAATAACGAATGATGCATAATTTAATAGCATAATAATACTTATAAGACGAGCATCTATCCATTCCCCCCTGATGGACTCGGGATTAACAGGGGTAGCAGACGAAACTTGAAAAAGCGGGGGGGGGGGGGGGGGGGGGGAGCATGGCCTCGCTCCACTGGTCAAGAACCTCGTAAATGAATCTGGAGCTGGTTATTGATCCCGATGCATTCCAAATGCTGGATCAATCCGAATGTGCGCGCGGTCAAGAACGTCGTGTACTGGAACGACGGCCTCAGTATAATTCATGATACCGCAAATGAATGTGGAGCTGGTAACGATCCCGATGCATTCAAAATGTTGCATATGGATCTGGAGCTGGTAATGATCCCGGTGCATTCAAAATGTTGCACCATCCACGAGGCACGAGGACAAAGGAAGGGGAGGGGGGGAGGATCGGGGACCCCTCTTCTTATTCTTTTCTGAATCGGCGGCAAGCGCTCCCCCCTCCCCCCGCGGAGGGGACAAGCTCTTTCTTGCTTCTATTTTTTTTTTCCAATCCGTTCGATCACTTCTCTAGCGTTGCTCGACAGTGTGACTGTTTCGTTTTCACACTCAGACTGTGTTCTGAGAAATATAGGTTGCCTTTTCATTTTCGTTTCGTGACTTTAGCTTTTTTTCGAATTCGTTTCCCATATCCACCAGCTTGCCTGAGCGATTCTGCTTTTACATTACTACCGTCTTCACCCGAATAGAACGCCCAGTCATTATAGCTGTATTTGGCACAACTTCCAGCCCAGAAACGGCGATAATTACCGGGCGTTAGATTCGGGTGAAGACGGTAGTAAAACTGATCGAATTATATAGTACGAATTCATTTTCGTTTCGTGACTGATTTAATACTGGAATTTGATAAGTATTGGAAATGTTCAATAAATAGTGCAAAAATTTTCATAAACTATTTTCGTCCGATTTTGTCAGCATATGCTTCGAGCGGCGATGATCACCATAACTCTGAATTTCCCCCTAGCCAAGATTAGAAAGTCCTGCCCGAACCACGTGTAATCCCGCCTGGATTACACGTGGAGATCACGTGTTCTGTACTTCAAATCTTCGCAAACAATACAAACCATCTCCACCGTCGCTGACTGAAAGAGCGGCAGAACCGCCTCCCTCCCCC